AGGACACAGAGACTTACTCACAAAATTACAATTATCTTATATTAGACAAAGGCACCAAGAACATATGTTGGAGAAAAGATAGCCTCTTCAACAAACGGTGCTGGGAAAACTGGAAATCCATATGCAACAAAATGAAATTAAACCCCTATCTCTCACCATGCACAAAACTCAACTAAAAGAGGATCAAGGACCTAGGAATTAAACCATAGACCCTGCACCTAATAGAATGAAAAAGTAGGCCCTAATCTTTATCACGTGGGATTAGGCCCCAATTTCCTTAATAAGACTTCTATAGTGCAAGAATTAAAACCAAAGTCAATAAATGGGATAGACTCAAAGTAAAAAAAAAAATTCTTATCAGCAAAAGAAACAATCTGGGAGGTGAACAGAGAGCCTTCAGTTTGGGAGCAAATTTTTACCCCTCCCACATCAGATAGAGATCTAATTTCTAAGGTATATAAAGAACCCAACAAACTAAGCAACAAAAAAAAATGACCCAATCAATAAATGGGCCAAGGATATAAACAGACACTTCTCAGAAAATGATATACAATCAATCAACAAATATATGAAAAAAATGTTCACCATTTCTAGCAATTAGAAAAACRCAAATCAAAACTACTCTAAGATTTCATGTCACTCCAGTCAGAATGGCAGCTATTATGAAGGCAAACAACAATAAGTGTAGGTGAAGATGTGGAGAAAAAGGCACATTCACACACTGCTGGTGGGACTGCTAATTGGTGCAGCCAATCTGGAAAGCAGTACGGAGATTCCTTGGAAAACTGGGAATGGAACCACTATTTGACCCAGCTATTCCTCTCTTCAGTGTGTACTCAAAGGACTTAAAAACAGCATTCTACATGGACACAGCCACATCAATGTTTATAGCAGCACAATTCACAATAGCTAAACTGTGGGACCAACCTAGATGCCCTTCAGTAGATGAATGGATAAAGAAACTGTAGTATATATACACAATGGAATATTACTCAGCATTAAAGAGAATAAAATCATGGCATTTGCAGGCAAATGGATGGAGTTGGAGAAGATAATGCTAAGTGAAGTTAGCCAATCCCCCAAAAAAGAAATACTGAATGTTTTCTCTGATATAAGGTGACTGACTCTTAGTGGGGTAGGGAGGCAGAGCATGGGAGGAATAGACGAACTCTAGATAGGGCAGAGGGGTGGGAGGGGAAGGGAGGGGGGCCTGGGGTAATAAATGATGGTGGAATGTGATGGACCTCATTATCCAAAGTACATGTATGAAGACAGGAACTGGTATGAACATACTTTATATACAGAGATATGAAAAGTTGTGCTCTATATGTTCATTAAGAATTGTAATGCATTCTGCTGTCATGTATTTAAAAAATAAAATCAATTAAAAATATCACAGTGGAGCCTGGCATGATAGATATCCCATGCCTGTAATCCTAGTTACTCAGGAGGCTGAGGCCAAAGTATCTCAAGTTCATGGCCAGCCTTAACAATTTAGCAAAGCCCTGTCTGAAGAAAAAAAAAGGGACTGGGAATGTATATTAGTGGTAGAATGTTTGCCTAGCATGTTTGAGCCCTGGATTCAATCTCTAGTATTGAAAAATTACAGTGGGACCAATTTTCTGGCTTCTTACCAGAATGGCAATCACTCAGCAAACCTGCAAGCAATGTGAGCTGTGTCAATGTGAGCTGTGTCAGAATCTAGCACAGGTGCAGAACCATCATTGATTTGGTATGCATAAGTCAGGATAATCTGCAGCCCTATTTTGTATTTTATTTAGAGACAGGGTCTGAGTTGCTTAGGGCCTCACTAAGTTGCTGAGGCTGGCTTTTAACTTGTGATCCTCCTGCCTCAGCCTCTTGAGCTAGATTACAGGAGTGTGCCTTTGCGTCCAGCAGTACTTCCATTTTTGCTGTCACCAGCCATGTTGCCACAATTAACATCTTTGCCACTCCTCCTCCTTCTCCTCATACTCCCCCTCCTACTACTCTCCACCATCACCTTCCTCTCCCTTCTTCTTTGCAGCGCTGGTGATAGAACCAAAGCCTTCTTGCTTGGTAGGCAAGTGCTCTACCACTGAGCCATACCCCAGCCCTTGACAGACACATTTTTGACACTGAATCTCACATTATCTTCAGGAAGAGTTTCACTCCAAACTTCATGATGTATTTCAACAGGTTTTTCTTCAATTATAACATTAATTGGGACAAAGGTGAGCACCTTGCTCAATTTGAGAGTACCAGTCTCCACTTAGCCCACAAGGACAGTACCAATACCACTAATTTTATAAACATCTTGAAGTGCCTAATATAAGGGCTTGTCAGTTGGATAAGTTGGTGACCGGATGCAAATCAGAGGTATGAGCAGCATGATTCCAGTGGCACTGGCATCTTTACAGGTGATTTTCCATCCCTTGAACCATTCCTGGTTCCAGCATGTTGTCATGATTTCAGTCAGAAATTGCCACAAAATACTACTGTGTTGGGTTGTATCCGATTTTCTTAAGGTAGTACTGACTTCCCTAATGATTTCTTCATATCTCTTCTGGTTGTGGTGTGGCCCAGTGGAATCTATTTTGTTAGCACTACCCAGTGTGTAAGTCAGAAGGGCATGCTCACAAATCTGTCCATTCTTGAAGATACCAGTTTCAAATTCACCAACAGCAGCAGCAACTATCAGAACAGCATGGTTAGTCTGAAAGGTTAGCATGTTTTCATGTTTTTGTTTGTTTGTTTGTGGGTTTTTTTGATACTGGGGATTGAACTCAGGGGCCCTTGACCACTGAACCACTCCCCAGCTCTATTTTGTATTTTACTTAGAGACAGGATCTCACTGGGTTGCTTAGCACCTTGCTTTTGCTGAGGCTGGCTCTGAACTCACTATCCTCCTGCCTCAGCCTCCTGAGATGCTGAGATTATAGGCATGTGCCACCTTGTCGGCCTTGTAATCATGTTTTTGATAGTCTATATGACCTGGGGTATCAATGATGGTCACATGATACTTGCTGGTCTCAAATGTCCTCAGGGAGATGTCAATGGTTATGCCATGCTCATCCTCAGCTTTCAATTGATCCAAAACCCAGGCATACTTAAAGGATCCCCTTCCCATTTCAGCACCCTCCTTCTTAATTTTTTGATGGTTCTTTGTTATCGCACCACATTTGTAGATTACATTGTCAGTAATGGTAGACTTTCTCAAATCCATTTGTTCAATGATAATGATGTTGATATGAATCTTCTTTCCCAATTTTGGCTTACATTTTGCAGTGATTTCATGATATCTGTGTTTTGGAAGCAGACATGTTGTGAAAAAAGCAATCATATATACATTAATTTTTAAAATTTATCATTGTTTATATAAATAATGCTTATTTATATTTATCCATATAGTTCCCCTGTCTTTGCTCTTTCTTCCTTCTTGCTTCTCATATCTTGTTGGAACCACTTTTGAAGTAAGTATAACATCAGATTATTTTTTAACAAATACAACATGTTTTATACCTCCATTTTATTTATTCATTTTTATGTGGTGCTGAAGATTGAACCCAGTGTCTTGCACATGTTAGGCAAGTGCTCTACCACTGAGCTACACCGCCAGCCTATCATCAGTATTTTTAATGAATCTTTGGTAGCAGGGAAGTTTGTTTCGGCTTGTCTGAAAATGTCCTTTTTTCAACTTCATTTGTATTTTGATGGATATAAAATTCTAGGTTAACAACTATTTCAACACATCCTAAATATCATCACCTCATTTTCTTTCTCTAAAAATTTTGTTTAGCCCATCAAAAAATTCTTAGTTCTTATTGCTCTAATCTCCATTTCAGTTGTTTCTGGTCTGATCTTTGTTACTTCCTTCTTTCTGCTACCTTTGGCTTTAATGAAGGCAAGATGGTTGCAACTTAGAGCCTATTAACTCAGGGAAAGTACCTGTTGATTCATCCTTTTAAATCCACTTCCCACACTTTTGTATGGCCATGGTAACACCTAGGGATCTTCTTTAGCATATTGTCCTCTGTGACTGTCCATGGCTCTGGGCCCTCTTCCTTTCCCTCCTCAGAGCTTACTCAACACTTCATGACACTACAAATGTTCTTCTGCAGGAACAAATAATATACCCACCAGGGCTTTGCTTTAAGTGCCTGCTCAAGCTGAATTTCTTGTTATTTAGTCTCTCTAATAAGCAAGAATTGTGTTGCCACTGTGAAGCAAAAGGTCAGTTCATTCAAATCATTTTCAATGACAGCAATTCATTCTGTAAATTTCCATGTACATTGACAGTAGTCTTATTCATACAGAAAGGAATATCTGATGGACAAGGTCTCTCCTTCTTTGTTCTTTTCTTAAGGCTATTTAATAATTTGTCCTCCTCTTCTCCCTCGATCTGCTCTACTTTTGCCAGGCAAGCATCTTTTCTAAGTTTGGTGTCTCTCAACTGTAGTCCCAGCTATTTGGGAGGCTGAGGCAGGAGGATCACTTGAGCTCAGAAGTTTGAGAACAACCTGAGCAACATAGTTAGATCCCAACTMAAAAAAAAAAAAAAAAGACAACAAAGAAGCACACAGAAAATAGGCCCCCAAAAGCCACCACCATATAAAGACCATGTTCCCACTCCCCACCCAGCCACCTTCCCTCTCTGTGCTGGACTGCCTGGTACTAGGGAAGCTCAGGGAAGGATGGAGGCAGCATAGTGATTAGGCCAATAGGCTTGAGAGTCTTGGGGAATGGAGTTCCTCTTCAGGGAAACACCTCCTAATCCTAGCTTGCCAGGCCAGTCTCTGATTTTATTATTTTAATAGTGTTTTATTATTACAGAAGCATATGTAGTGCTAAATATAGGTGAATAGCATCAGCATGAAGCAATGAGGGCTCACTTCAGATAGAAAGCAAGGGGGATGAGTATATGTAATGAAGAGGGGATCTCCTCTAGGACCTGTATTATCTGACTGATGTTTGTGTCTACCACCTCATCTTCCCTCCATATACCATACCTTGGATTCTTCACTATACTCAAGTCATGTTTGCCCCATTTTGTTTCGGCTGAACTCCTCAAAGAGGATTTCTCTGAGCACCACAGCTAAAGTACCCCCAGTCACTCTTTACCATATTATTCTATTCTATCTTCTGAATAGCACCATTGAAATTCCCTTATTTGTCTACTGATTTATTATCTCTTGCTCTCCCCAAGAGAGTGCAAGCTTCTACTATGCTTCACTCCAATGGCTACAATTGTACAGATACCATGTAACACTTCCTGACTGACCCTCATGTTTGTCTTCCAAATTTGTCTCTGCTTTCTCTACCTTGACCAGCCTCCTTCTGCTCCCCTAAAAATCAAGTCACACTATTTTACCCTCTGGATCTCATACCTTGGAAAACAATCCTGCTTACATCTTCAACTTCTTTACTACATGCTTCACTTTTTCCTCCCTCCTCTCTTACACCTTTCATAAGAATGAGATTTCTTCTACAGCTTATGGGTTTGAGAGATGAAGATGACTTTCTTCCCCATTGCTGCTTCTTGTCCTTGACTCCTCTATTCCTCTTGTAAACCTCTCTTAAGAGTAAGAATTTCATGACATTTAAAAAAAATTAGTTGTCAATGAGATCTTTATTTTATTAATATGTGGTGCTAAGGGTCAAACCCAGTGCTTCACACATACTAGGCAAGTGTTCTATCACTGAGCCACAACCCCAGCCCCATGACATCTTCATTTGCCATTATCTATTCTCATTTATTCCTCAGCTTCATCTCTATGTTTTGCCACCTGGTTCTTAGGGTTCCTCTGTAAAGCAATCTCTGGTATCCCACTGCTACAAATTGGGGGTGCCTTTCTTACTATTTCAGCAGTTGTAAAGTCAAAGATCACAACAGCAGGACAATGGACTCATACCTGTTTCTTAGAACATGAGAAGATCTACTCATCCCATAGTCCCAGAGCCGCTCCACTGCAGCAATAAAATAATGTCGTGTTTTCTTTTGAAAGCTGCGGGGGCCCTGGTTTTCATCCTCACCATAAATGTCAAAATCTTCCCTCTTTGTTACAAATGAGATGGTATCATCATAGTCAATGTCTTCTTGCTCTAACTGAAGAGTAGGACCCGGCAGCTTGGATGGAGTCTTTTCAGAGCTTTCCATTGCCACTTTAACAAAGGGAACTTCTCCAGGTCTATTTGTTTTATTCCCTTTGATAGGTCTTGGTGTTTTCTGAAGAAGGATATTTTCCATGTCTTCAAGGTGGCCAGGAGAATCACGACTAGTTTCTCTAGTTAAAAGGTCTTTCTGATAAATGGGAAGTTTAAGAAGCAATTCAACTTTTCCAGATACTTTGGGCAAGACTGGTTTCAAGAGAACATTACTCTCATTATACATGACTGAGTTTGTGGCACTTGTCCTCATGGAGCCAACCTTTCTTTGATCTCTGATCATCTCCAAAGATAGGATGGATAAAGAAAGGTTATTTCTTTTTGCTCCTTGTAAGAAATGACTTCTTTCTTGGGCCCTAGAACTTTCTGTCCTAAAAGTATAACTGTAGGCTAGAAAATGAGAAGAATTGTCTTGAGATGGGATCTTGGTCAAATCTGTAGGTATAATTGATGGAAATGGTGATATCTTTGTAATGGGCAATGTAGAGCTATTCATCTGAGTGATGTCATGGTTCATCACAGGAAAATCTGATAAGGGAGACTGAATAATGGTTTTCTCCTGCTTTTTATTGTAGTCTATGTGCGTCAAATATTTCATGTTTTTGGATGACTGGGATGAGCTGTCATTTGCAATTAGACCCTTTTCAAGTTCCGTTTCTTCTAGTGGGAGTCTGAATTCCTTTGACGTTTGCTTACCATGTTGAACAATAACATTCTTCTGGCATGGATTAAGAGACATCCTTGTGGTGCTTATGTATTTCTCCATTATTTGCTTGGTTTGATTCACCAAGCCTTTCAAGTTTGTTTCCTCTTCCTCCTTACTTTTTGATAAATGGGCCATGTGAATCTCTGTTCTATTTGTTGAATCATTTACTGACCTGGCGTCCTGAAGTACTGGTATATATGTCCCCTCATCTAAACTTACATTCTGCCTAGTACTCAGTAAGAAAAGGTTCTTTAGGAAATTCTTATTGCCAGTCATTGTATACCCCTGAGGCAAAACTACATTCTCTTGAATTAATGCTTCGTTCTTTTCTATATCTTCCTGAAATTTTTTTTCTTGATTGTGTGTATCATTTTCTTGTACATGTGTCAAGTTAGTAAGAAATATGGTCCTGTTTCTTGGAAAAATCATCTCTTTGAGTTCTGTGTCCTTTGTAAATTCATCTTCTGTTATTACTACTTTATTTTTCTCTGACAAGAAATTTTGATCTTTTACAGACTTTTTTGATGCTAAGGATATTAATTGCTTCAGTCCAGAATTCAAGAAGTTCTTTGCATGGGTCTTTTGCTGCCAATTTGCTGACTCTGGCAAGAATGGCATCCTAAAGAATGACATATCTGGATTTTCTGAATCTTGTAGCACAGGCCCCACCCTTTTTTGGTAACCTATTTCCATATTCTTTAATGGAGTAGTTTTATTTGACACATAATTTAGCCTCAAAGCTGGATTATTTTTGTGCATTATTAGCATTTTGTCTTGGATCAAAGATGTCACTTCTCGAAGACCAGTATTGCTTTCTAATACAGTGTCTTGCCAGGCAGATGTACTATTCTCAATTAAGAACGTTGGGCTGTCAGGGTAATTTCTTCCATTCAATATTGAATTATTAGATGTCTTGTTTGCTTCTATCAAAGAAATATTAAATTTAAATAAAGCATTATCTTTGGTCAACGAAGAAGCATTATCTTTGGTCAACAAAGAAGGTGTGTGAATTATTTTCTTTTTAAGTAATCCTTTACTCTTCATTAATGATACATTTTTTCCCAGTGAGTTTTCTTTACTATTCATTAAATCTGCTTCCAACAACTTGGAATCATTTCTTTCACTCAAGCTCAGAGATACACCAGACCCAGTAATGGGAGATGACTTTGTACCAAATAAAATGTAACTTAACTGACTACTAAAGTAAACTGGCATATTTGGGGTTCCTAAGGAATTCGTCTTTTCAGGACCTGCTGCCAAATTTTCTGATAGATTATTTGGAGAACCCAAAACTTTTGAATTAAATTTCTTCAAATCTACTGCTACAGTTGTTCCCAAATTCTCATTTGATCCTGATTGGAGACCTGGATCAGGAGTAAATACTATGTCTTCATCATGGTGGAGCTCAGGCCTGAGGTGTACCACTTCAGATAGACCTTCATTACTGTCGGTTGCTCCAGGTGAATAATCATCAGGAATAGTCTCATATGTGGCTTTTTGAAGATCAGATAAGGATAACCCACGTGGAGTAGGACTTTGTCCCAAGAGCATCAAAAAATCACTGGAGACACTTTGTACTTTGATGATCCCTGTTCTCTCTTCTTCAAACTGAGGGTCAATCTTCTTTATGTCATTTTCTTGTATTGAGATAGCTTTGAATTGCTTCCTAGGGCTCAGATGCCTTAAATTTGGGGAGAAGCTTCTCGGTTGAATAACATTGTTTTCACTAATCAGATATGTTGGAATATCTTCATATGTGTTCTCATAATAATCACCAATGTTCCTGTCACAACTAGAAACCTTCAGTAAGGCTGTCATGCCTCTGTTTCGAAAGTCTGAGTTGTGGCATCCCAGAACCCACAGACCTAGAGATGAGAAAGAATAAGACTCTGGTTACTCAGAATCCAGGTTTGAAGTAAATTCTGTATTAAGAGGTTCTCTTCCATTTTTAGATAAATGAAAAAATATTGGTCAAGACCATTATATCACAAGTCATTGGGTTAAATTCTTGACACATGTAACAATCCAATGATGGTAGTAAAAGTAGATTTTGCATTGCTGCTATTGTGCCATACCTGTTTGTGACACAAAGGGCTATAAATAAAAAATGGAATAAAATGGAGAAATGTAATTAATACAAACAATAATGAAGACTATTAATAGTCACACAAAACTCTCTGATGCTGACAGTGAGTTGAGGAAGGGTTTTATATAGGTTAAATGTTATTGTCATATTACAACAGTTTCTAGAGTCAGACTTCTTGGGTTCAACTCCTAGCTCTAAAATTTACCAGTTGTATAACTTTGAGCAATGCACTTAAGCTATCTGAGCTCCAGTTTTAAAATTTGCAAATGAGGATAATGGTATCTATCCTATCATTCTATGCATTAAAATCACATATAATGCAATATGCTATAGTTTGGATGCAGTTTTCCCCCAAAGGCCTATGTGTTAGAAGCTTAGGAAGTCATAGTATTGGAAAATGGTTGAACCTTTAAGAGGTGAGGCTTAATGGAAGATCCTTAGGCCACTAAGGGTATGTTCTATAAAAGACTAAGGAAATTCTATGTTATCTCTTGGCAGTTCTCAGGAGAAGGCTGCTTTTATGCCTGAGCTTGGCAAGTGAGGTAATCACAGCTATTGTTGAAAGGAGAATATAAATAACTAACCTGGGTTTTCCATCGACATGAAGACAGTTTCTCCTGAGAATGGGAATAGAGTAAGTGTGTCTTCATAAACCATTTTGTGTTTGAAGGTATATCCAGAGAAGAAGACAGATAAGAAGTTGGTCTGTGCTCCAACACTTAGAATGTACCAATATGCCACCTCATGCAAACAAACTGACAACTGCAAGCTATCAAAAACATAGCCATTGATACCTGCAAAGCAATGGGGAATGAGAGGTTTAGAAGTATTCTGGATTTCTTATTTTGGATTGTGTCTTCTCAGGGATTTTCCTCTATGCATGTACATCCCTGGTATATATCTATATGTCCAAATCTCCTCTTCTTACAAGATTGCCAATGAGATTAGATTAGGGCCCACTCTAATAATTTAAATTTAACTTAATAATCTTTAAAGATATTATCTCCAAATTCAGTCACATGTGAAGTACCAAGGTTAGGATTTAACAAATGAGGCTCAACTCAAAGCTAAAGGGCTAAAACTTGGAGACAAGGGGTATAGCATTAGATGACAGAAGTCACATACTGGAAGGAGAGTGTAACCCACTATATAAAATTTCAGGGTTCTCAGATAATGTCTATGTCCATTTTGTTCAGGATTTTTAGTCACATTTAGTGGAATAGATACAGTGACATGTGCTTATTCCATCTTAACCAGAACTGAAATTTCAAAAGGCATATATTTTTAATTTTAATGGATACAACTACATTTGTTTCAAAAAGACTGTACCAGTGATCCACTAGAATACCTGTTTACCCATACAACCACTGGTAATAATGGTCTTGTAGTTTTGCCAGTCTGATAGTTATAAAGTACTATTTCTTTGGCATTCTATCTTGCCTTTCCCTAATGATAGAGAGATTTAAATTTCATCATGCTTTTGACCATTTAATTTGTGTGTATATATAAACAGTACACATATGTATATATGCGGCAGGCTGAGTTGTGTCCTTTCCAATTCAGATGTTTAGTCCTAAACCCAGTACCTCAGAATGTGACTGTATTTGGAAATAGGTCTTTAAATAGGCAGTTAGTTAAAATAAGATCATTAGAATGAGCCTTAATCACCTTATATGAAGAGATTAGGATACACACAGGTAGAGGGGGAAGATCACATGAGGATACAGAGAGAAGATGCTACAAGGAAAGGAGAGAGGCTAAAGAAGAAACCAAACCTGCCAACACTTTGATCTCAGACTTTCAACCTCCAGAAGTGTAACACAATACATCTCTGTAATAATTATTATAGCAGTCCTAGAATATGAATATAATGATATAGTATATGAGAGTATTGTTATGGAGAAAATGTGTCTTTAAATTAGTGACCTAGGTATGGAAGGGTTGATGGAAAGGTATTAATATAGAAGGAGATAAAATAAAACTAAATGGGAGAGGGCAGCCAAGTAAACATTGAAAGGAAAACTGGTGACTAGGTTTTTGAAATATGTGTTATATGATTACATTTTTTTAAATGTGTCTCTTACATGGCATTTAAATGCATTCATTATCTGGACATCAGTTTGGTGGCATCATCAATTTCCCTTTATCCCACTGGACTGAAGTGATGTTTTTACTCACTGTGCATGACATTGGAGGCTTGGAATTCTGGATCCTGGAGCTGTACTTCTACTGCATTGGGGAGAAAGCGCTGCATATTCTCTGTGAGGTACCAGCTTTGGTTCTCATCAAATACAGAAAACAGGATGACATTTCTTTTATCTGACATCATCTGTTAATTACATGTATTGAAAGGGAGAAAGAAATGCTGCTGATACTGTAAGGCAGGCACTAGAAATCTATGATGGAAGCAATGACATATATATATATATATATTTGGTTCAATTATATTTCCTCTTAGGGTCACTGTTATGGCGTGTACCAGGACCTGGGAATGGGGATGGGTGTTACAAGCAGTGAATATATGTTTAGGCAAGAGGGTGACTGGATCCACTAGACTTAGTTTTTCTGGCTTTAAGGCCATATGCTGGCTGATTTTTTTGGTATAGTCTGTAGTTTCATTCTCTCCACGTTCTGATTAGAGGATTTAACTCTTTAAACATGCATTTAGCAACTACTTTCCACAAGGCTACCAATCTATAAAAAAGTAAAAATAGAAAAACAGAATAAGATAAGGTGAACTACAAGAACAACAAACAACACTAATATCTAAGTTTTCTATTTAAACAAATCAATTTTTCAGAACAACTTATATAATGAACCAAATTTATAAGTTAGTCCACTTGCTAATTGAGTCTTGTTATAGTTTGGATCTGGAATGTCCCCCAAAGGCTCATGTGCTGAAGGTTTGGTCTCCAATACAGCAGTGTTCTGAGGTAGAGCTTTTGGGAAGTGACTGAATTATGAGGGCTCTGACCCCATCAATGCATTACTCCATTTGATGGATTAATAATTTCAATGGATTACAGGAGATGATGGAAGTGGCAGTAGATGGAATCTACTTGTAAGAAGTAGGTCTGGAGGCATGACCTAGAAAAGTATATCTTGTCCCCGGGTGGTCTCTTTCTTGTGCACATTCTCTCTCTCTCTCTCTCTCTCTCTCTCTCTCTCTCTCTCTCTCTCTCTCTCTCTCTCCCCCCTTCTTGACTTCCATGACTTGAGCAGCTTTGCTCTGCTACAATCTACCCACTGTGACATTTTGCCTCATCATGTGCCTACAGCAATGGGGCCAAGTGACTTATGGACTTAAATCTTTGAAATAATTAACCAAAATAAAATTTTTCCTTCCTTTAAGTTGATTTTTTCAGGTATTTTGTCACAGCAACAAAATTTTCACTTCATTCTAAGTGAAACCCAGTTTATTTCTTTTATTTTACTATAAAACAGACTACTGTATTTTCTGCAGGATACAGGAGGACATACATTGAGAGAATAAGAAATATCTGGAAGTTCATATGCATCTTCCATTTTTAAGTTTTAAACCCAGAACTTGGAAAGGATAACACTCACCTGGTTTCCTCTTTGATCTACAGATTCTTTGTAGCAGATGAGAAGAGGGCCAATGAGCCCAGAAGCTAGATCTCTCTCCAGATTAATGAAACTAGAGTAATATCGGGTCAGGCATCGAGGATCTGATTTAGTTGGCCCATCTTCTACAGTTATTGTCCATTTATACTTGAATATTTCTCCTGGCAGTATTGGCAAATCCTTCAAATGTTTTACACCTACCCACAACCAAATCCAGAAATAGCTCAATTAGAATATAACAAGCCACATATTAGTAATGTTAAGTTGAATAGTTTGGCTTAAAACTGGTTCCATACATATTTTAAGTTTGTCTAAAGGTTTTCTTTAAATAGTAACCATGTTGCTATTGCAAAGGTTCTACAAATCTGTATGTATGTAAGAAATTTCTCAGTAAATGGAAACTAAAATGGCCCCTGGTATAAGATTTACTAAATTTTTTATCAATAAAAATGGGTCCAGCAGACTTTTGTTTAAAAAATATATATGAAGAAGAAAAATATTCTAAGGGCCAAAGGAAAATAAAAGACATTAAAGAGAGTGGCATTCCAGAACTGATTATCCAGTTGATTGTGGTAGGGAATAAGGAAGGAGAACTTATTTGATTTTTAATAGTAAAACCATTGGAATTATAGACAAGAGAATAATCAGAGTTCAGAAATAAGCATATGTATAAAAAGTAACTTATTTAAAAAACACAAATGTTGTTTTTGGATTTAAAATTTTTAGAATAAATATGTAAACAAAGCAAGCAAATATATAATTGTGAAGTCAAAAAACAAAGAATTAGCACTATAAGCAATGTTTAGAGATTTTGAGATGAAACACCAAAAATCTAAAACAAAAATGATTAAAAATGAATGCCTCAGCTGTGAGTGGTGGTGCATGTTTGTAATCCCATGGGCTTGGGAGGCTGAGGCAGGAGGATTGCGGGTTCAAAGCCAGCATCAGCAATGGTGAGGAACTATGCAACTCAGTGAGACCCTGTCTCTAAATAAAATATAAAAAGTGTTGGAGATGTGGCTCAGTGGTTGAGTGCCCCTGAGTTCAATCCCTAGTACTCCCCTCAAAAAAAATGAAAGCCTCTAGGAAGTGGAACTTACAGCCCTTCAATAGCTTAAACCTTAAGCAACTATGATTTTGATAAAATAAATCATTAAAATTAAAATTTAGAAAGAATATTTATAGTATAAATTTCATTAAAAGGAAAATATTTTACTCAAACTACTAAAAATGAGTAATCGTAATTGAAATATAAAATTACCAGACTATCAACAAGCATATCAAAACTAACACAATATGACCAGGTTAAAATCTCCAATTGATAGATGGTGACTGGGTAAACTAATAAAAACCATATGTATGCTTTTTATGTGGACAAGACCTAACATGAAATAAACAAACATATGGGAAAATAATATCACGGAAAAGATAAACTAATTAAGCATATGTGGCAATACTAAAATTAGAAAAAAATAATTCAAGTTAAGGATCATAAAAGACAACCAAGGAGATTTTATTGATAAAAGGTGTAATCCATGACAAAGATATGTCATGAATCTTTTTTTTTTAATTTTTTAAAGTTGTTGATGGACCTTTATTTTATTCATTTATTTTTACATGGTGCTGAGAATCTAACCCAGTGCCTCACACATACTAGGCAAGAGCTCTACCACTGAGTCCCAACCCCAGCCCTATGTCATGAATCTTTAAGCAACAAATAATGAAATTAAAAGTAGAAATATTAAAATATTAGATATCAAAAGTGTGGAATGAAGCCAAAAACTAAACTCAGAGGAAAAAACATGACCTTCATATCAGAACAATCAGCTTTAAGATTTTAGGGCACTTAAGAGTTGCAGCCTAAAGTTACACCACATCAATTCTAGGAAGCCTTAGGGGTGTTTTACATAAGCTATCAAAGAGTCACTTCAAGTACTTTTGCTATTACCTTTTGGCAATCTCCCTGAGTATAAAGGACTGACATCAGTGATTCCATGAGGGTAGATGTTATATGGCCGGCTTGCTTGATTCTTAAATATAATCTGAAAAGTAAAATGAGATATAAGATACCCTAAGACAAGTAAGGTCAACAAGAAAACTGTGGCCTATCTCCAGAAAACCAAAAGCTGCCTTTATCCATATTATAAGAATTTGAGCCTAGATAAAATTCAAAAACATTTTTTCATGAAATTGTTTAGACAGCAACTTATGTTTCTCATTGAAGGTCCCTTTCCATTTCTTTTATCTTTTCTTTTCTTCCCCCCCCCCCCCCCATCCATTGCTGAGGCTGGCTTTGAACTTGCGAACCTCCTGTCTCAGCCTCCACGCCCCTGGGATTACAGGCATGCGCCACCACCCTGGTGCCTTTTCATTTCTTTAAAAATGATTCCAATTGTTTCAATAAATATTTCCTGCACCTTCTTATGCTTATGCTAATTGCATGAGGATACTGCTTCCTCTCAGTCTTTTCCATTGTTCAGAGAAGGAGACAGTGATTCAGATGATAAAATGTTCTTCGTTGAAGGAGCAAACCTGACTAGAAGGACAATTGATTATAGCATCAAGCAGGAGTGGCAAGTGGTATCATCTGATTTAAAAGAGCTTTAAAAGAGAGGAAGGAAGCAGAGATGAAGACTCATGGAGACATTAATTATTCCTCTACATCTGCAGATGTGTGATAATGAAGGTTAAAAAATCTACTTTTGGGGCTGGGGCTGTAGCTCAGTGGTAGAGTGCTTGCCTAGCATGTATGAGGCACTGGGTTTGATTCTCAGCACCATGTAAAAATAAATAAAATAAAGGTCCATTGACTTTTTTAAAAAAATATGTTTTTAAAAAATCTACTTTCACTTGTACTCATCTTAAAAGCCCATTCATTTGGTAAAACACATATTTCTTTTTTCCCCACATTTTTTTGGTGAATTATATTTATACATACTGATGGGGTTTGTTGTTAAAACCACCTATTTCTTATCATATTAACACTCTTATTTATTCCTTTCAAATATTAAAATTTTCTTTCCCTTTCTTGTAAGAACACAAGCTAAGATTTCCAGTATAATAGATGTGTTACCTTTCTTGTCCTGATCTTAAATAGGAGGATTTCTGCATTTTACCAAGAATGATACTTAGTGGGGTTTTTTTTGTTGTTGTTGTTGTTTATATCTTTACCAGGACAATAATTCCCTTATAATACCAATTTGTTGTTAAATTTATGAATAGTTGCTGAATTTTGACAAACGATTTTTTCTGCAGCTATTGAAATTATCAAATGTTCTTTTCCCTTTTTATGCTTTTATGTGTTAATGTGGATTACACATTTGATTTTCTTAGATTAAGCTAATTTATTACTCCTGGGATAATTCTGTCACAATGTATTATCTTTTATATACATTACTGTGTTGGGTTTAGATTTTCATTTAGGATTTTTTTTAACCTGTGTTTATAATGCTACTGATCTGTAATTTTAATTTTAACTTTCCTTTCTCCTATTGTCTTGGTCAGGTTTACAACCAATATTTGTTGAACTAGAAAAATAAGCTGTCAGTCTCTATGTAAGCTTTGAAACATGGCTCCCAAATTCATTGACATTCTTCCCATCAAGAGATGGACCATATTTTCTTTTCTTTCATGATAGATGGGTGGGCTTTGACTAATCTCAACTAATAGATCATGTCATGAAGTGCTATGTTACTTCTGATGATGGTCATAAAAGGTGATAAACCTTATGACTTGCTTACTAGAACACACACAGTTGGAACCCTGAGCCTACATGAAAGAAGTCTCACTATGGTGTGAAGAAAGCCACTATAGTGTGAGAAAGCCAAGCCAAATATTTTGAGTCTTATCCATGTTGCAGAATGTGAGTCATCTCTTTTACTAAAAGGCAAAATATTTATATAATTTGAAAAGAAATCAGATTATAGCTCATTTCTTTTAATTGCTGAATAATATTTCAATTTTATGGACATAACACATTTTGTTTATCCATTCACCAACTGGTGAACATTTCTGTTTGGGTACTGAGGTTTGAATCCAGGGGTGTTTTACCACTGAACTGCATCCCCAGCCCTTTTTTATTTTGAGACAGGGTCTTGCTAAGTTGCAGAGGGTTTAACAAAGTTGCTGAGGCTGCCTTGAACTTGCCATCTTCCTGCCTCAGCCTCCCAAATGGCTGGGATTATAGGGTACACCACTGAACCCAGCCAATTGGTGAATATTTAAATGATTTTCTCTGTGCAACTGTTATGAAGAGTGCTGCTATAGACATTTGCATACACATCTTTGAATCGACCTATATTTTCATTTCTCTTGGTTATATTTCTAGGTATAGAATTAGTAGGCCACATGGTCATTCCATCTTGAACTTTCATTATTCATTAATGGAGATTCATTATTCTATATTCCCACCAGAAATTTACGAGTGTTGCAATTTATCCATGTCCTCACCAACCCATGTCTGTCTTCTTGTTCATGGTCATCTTAGTAGATATGAAGTAGCATCTTATTGTGGTTTAGATTTGCAATTCCCTGGTATTCAGCATCTTTGCATGTGCTCACTGATTACCTTGTATATTATCTTTGGAGAAATGTCTATATAAATCCTTTGCTCATTTTTCAGTTGGGTCATGTATTTTTATTGTTTATTTGTAAGAGTTCTTTATATATTTTGGGTATTAGATCAGATATATGATTTGAAAATATTTTCTCCTATTCAGTGGGTTATTGTTTCACTTTTTTGTTGGTATCCTTCAAGGTACACACATTTTAAATAGTGATTAAGTTATTTATAAAGGCTTTTTTTTTCCTTCGGTTGCTTCTGCTTTTGATGTCATATCTAAGAAACCATTATCTAACACAAGGTCAAAAATTTATTCTTTTTTTCAGTGGGGGGGTACCAGGGATTGACCGCAGGGGCACTCGACCCCTGAGCCCCAGCCCCAGCCCTATTTTGTGTTTTATTTAGATACAGAGTCTCACTGAGTTGGTTAGCACCTCACTTCTTTTGTTGAGGCTGGCTTTGAACTCAGGATCCTCCTGTCTTGGCCTCCCAAGCCTCTGGGATTATAGGCATGCGCAACCACGCCCAGCTCATAACTACAAATTTCTTGTAATGAAAATAAACCACTACTTATTTAAACCATGTTCATGATTATTATTTGCGATGTAAGCATTGTTTCTTTATTTATTTTTTTGATACTGGGGATTGAACCCAGGGGCACTTAACCACTGAGCCACGTCCCCAGCCCTTTTTATTTGTGTGTGTGTGTGTGTGTGTATGTATGTATGTATATGTGTGTGTGTGTGTGTGTGTATATATATATATATATATATATATATATATATAGTAGGTGGACACAATACGTTTATTTTATTTATTTTATGTGGTGCTGAGTATCTAACCCAGCACCTCACATGTGTTAGGTAAGTGCTCTACCACTGAGCCATAACCCAGCCCTCATTTTTTATTTTGAGACTTAGTCTCACTAAGTTGATCAGGGCCTTGCTAAATTGGTGAGGCTTTGAACTTGATATCCTCCTGCCTCAGCCTCCAGAGCCATTGGGATTACAGGTTTGAGCCACTGTGCCTTGTAAGCATTCTTAATACCCTAGATCAGAGGTCATCAACCATTTTATGGGAAAGGCTAGATAGTAAACATTTACATTGTCTCTCTGTCTTCCTCCACTGTTCCTCTTCTTCCTCTCTTTGTAATCCTTTAAAAACATAAATTACCTTCTAAGCTAGTAGGCTCTGCAAAAATCAGGCCATAAGCTAAATTGGTATAGGCTGCTGACTCGTAATGTATATAATCAGGAAAATAGTTCAGGAAGGATATGTATCAAAATCTAATCCATGAGTAGTTTAAAGGAATGGTGAGTTTAATGGGTGACATTAAATTTTATTCTACATACTTATATAATTATATTTTAAATATATCCATATTTATCATTATCATAAACAATAATAAATATGGATATATTTAAAATATAATTATATTTTATTATTTATTATATTATTTATTATTTTTAAAAGATCATGTCCATTGGAGGCAAGGCTGAATTATGAATGTTGTATAAATTCAAAATCTCCCATACTTTTTCTTCTTACTTAATCCCAAATATTATCTTTAACTTACCAATAGTGTGTCTCCAACTTCCCCATAAAGTAAAGGTCCCAAGATTCCTGATTCATACTGAATAGTTTCACGAGTCTTAAACGTTTTATCTGTGTATGCCACAAATCGGACTTTTTTGTACTTCCTACCAATCCGCTGAGGACCATTATTCAAATATTGACTTTTATAACTTCTGTATGAGAGATAAAAATATGAGGGGTTGGGATAGAAATTTTTAGATAGGAAAAATCCAACTCTTAAACATCTGATGTTATTTAATGGGAGTGAGAAAAATATAAGCATCTCTACTACTTAGCTATGTCTACTACTTAACTACTTAATAGTGTCCAAATATGTTAATACCTACTATTATTTGGATCTGAAGTGTCCCCCAATGGCTCACATGTTAAGAGATTAGACAGGAGCCTGCAGCACTATTGGGAAATGGTGAAACCTTTAGAAGGTATGGCCTAGTGAAAGGAACTTAGGTCACTGGAGCTGTACCCTTGAAGGGATATTGTGACACCTGGCCCCTTCTACTCTTTGTTTCCTGGCTTTCATGAGGTGAACAGGCCTTCTACACTAGGCACTCCTACCATGATATACTGTGCCACCATAGGCCAAAAATGATGTGGCCAAGCCACCAACCATGAACTGAAATCTCTGAAACCAAGCCAAAATAAACCTTTTTTCTTTTAACTTAGGTGTTCTGTCATAGCAACCAGAAAGCTAACACTAACCCTTGCCATTTGATTCTATACCTGTACTGACTCTTAAACATAGCTTAAGGATTTCTTGGTTTGAATAACTGAGAAACAAATTTTGAGTAGGAAAGAGTCAAAATGAGTTTACGTGTCATTGGAGGTGAGGACTGATGGGGCATAGTCCCAGTCCTCCTCCTCAGCAGCAATATAATGTATCCAAGTTTTAGGATGCTTCTTGGCAACGGAGCGAATTTGGATCAAGGAAGAAGAATTGGCATCATCAAACCTGAACACATCCATTTCAGAATCAAGATACTCATCATATTCTTCTTCCTCTTTGTTATTTTTCATCCGTAGTTCAGGTTCCTCTGGGCAGCTGTCTACTTTGATGTAAGCTTCCATGCCATCTGGAATCAAACAAACCAAATAAAGTCAGACTCCTACAGGATTCTCTTGCCTTAAATAAAAAAGAAAGCACCTTAAATTTCCTTGTTCTATATTTTTAGTATTTGAAAGCCTAGGGCAGTCCAACTCCACATCCCCATATCAACTAATGATTTCTAGATTCTTATGGTTTAGATGTGAGTTGTTGCCCAAAAGTACATGTGTGAACTTTTGTGTGAACAATGCAAGAATGTTCAGAGGAGAAATGATTATGACAGGTGTCATCTAATAAAGGATTAGCCCACGGAAATATATTAACAGGATGGTGACTGTAGGCAGGTGGGGTGTGGCTGGAGGAGGTGGGTCACTGGTGATGTGCTTTGGGGTTTATATTTTGTCTCTGGTTAGCAGAACTTTCTCTTTCTCCCTCTGCTTCCTGCTGTCATGTCCTGAGTGCCTTTCTTCTGCTATGTCCCTCTGCCAGGGTATTCTGCCTCACCTCACGTGCAGAGCAATGGAGTTAGCAGAGTATGGACTGAACCTCTGAAACCATGAGTCAAAATAAACGTTTCCTCCTCTAAGTTGTTCTTGCAGATCTTTGGTCACAGTACTGAAAAAAGCTAACTAAAACATATTTACTCCAGTGACTTACCATACAACCTATTGATTTAATAACAGCTTACCAGTAAAAATATAAAGTCCCTGAAGTCTCCATTTTTTTAAAAAAAAATTTCCTAGGCTCAAAACCAGTTCTAAAAGAGAAATATTTACATATGTTATCAGACAAAATTAACAACTTTTTAAAAAGGGGGCAATACATAGATGGAGGAGTGTCAGGCAAAAGGAAAATGGCCAAAGCAAAGATCAGAGGAAGAAACCAGGAAATATCAGATAATCCATTTTGTTGGTCATTTTTTTACTCCCTAATGTCTTGTCAAAATTCCATGAATATGTAACTGCCAGGAAAAAGAAGTTTCTATTCTTAATTACTATAGAGGACTATAAACATGTTAACTCATAGAAAGTAAGGGGAAAGGGTGGATATACAGCCAAGATCAAATATCTTTCCTACAGTAATCAAGGAATCTGGAGAGAGGTTAGCATAAGAGTGATATGGCCAAAGGATTGCCTCCTCAACATTTTTCTCCAAAGCCCTCTGTATGGTTTGAATATTTGTACCCTCCAGAACTCATGTTGGCATTAATTGCTATGGTGATGGTACTGGGAGTTAGAACTTTTAAAAAGTGTTTAGGCTCCACTATGTGAGGAGCCACAATGAGTTCCACACTTTCCAATCCTGATGCACCATGGGGATCTGAAAGATCACTGTAGTCTGGCACAGTAGTGCAATGAGTCAGGACTCAGTCTCCCCCACCCTCTGATAGCAAGGCCAGTCTTCTGAGTAGGCACCCCCCTAGGGTTGAGCTACACTCACCTATTGTTTTGTAATCCTACCCTTTTGCCCTGTTTGGGATAGAATGTTCCATGGAAACTCCCTTTGTGTGTCCCCTTCTGTTGCTCTGCCTGCCTTTGGGTGTGACCTTCCTACATGTCAGCCAATCTGCTGACAGCAGACATCATAAAGCTACATTGAACCCCCTAAAACCTGACCCCTTGCCTCATTTGAATGGCTTCTCCTCAATAAAAGGGTTCAACACATGCATTCTCTCTCTCTCTCTCTCTCTCTCTCTCTCTCTCTCTCTCTCTCACTTGCTCTTTCCATGGACCCCCTAAGGTCAGAGGAGCCATCACAGGACCCAAAGAAAAAGGTATTTCTCTGTCTCTGTGTGGTTATTTTGTGCAGCCCAGTTCACTGGAGTGACCCTGAGTGTTTTAGTCGTGAGAAATGCAACACCACCCTGATGAATAGACTAATGCTGTTAATGTGGGAATGGGGTTTCTTCCCCCTCTCTATATACATAGGAAAAAATATATAGAAGTATATATATGAATATGTACATATATATATTCCTAATGAATTACCCAGTTTTGATATTGTCTTACAGAAGCTCAACAAGGACAGCCTTCCATGGCCACAGTAGAGTAGAAAAAGAAGCTGAGCAAGTTAGCAAGGTCCTAAAACAACTCAGTGAGACCCTGTCTCTAAATAAAATATAAAAAGGGACTGAGGATGTGGCTCAGTGTTAGGCACCCCTGGGTTCAATCCCTGGTACCAAAAAAAAAAAAAAACCCAAA